GTCGGGCGGACACAGCTGGAAAATTCCGTTGCAAGACGGAACAGGTATCATAAAATCTAAGCTACCTATAATGTATTTTTCGAACCCAGTCTCCCGTACAATTACTATGAAAAAAGGTGTACGCTTCGTTAGAATATGAGCCGTTTATTTTGTAATAGTAGTTAAAGATAAAACTTAGTATGATCTTTTTATCTGTAAACAATTTACAGTAAAAAAAACTCAGAATTCTAATATTTGGAAGATGGAAGTTTTAGCTCTTAACAGTATTGTAAATATGTTTAATTTGAAAGAGAGTGGTGCAAGTCCATCTTAGATTGAAATTATTTTTAACCGTACGGCAAAATTTAACTCTGGTTGCTGCATGGTGAAGCAAATGTAATGGTTTCACATTATGTCTGAAATGTAGGGTGTTTTTATCTATCTATCTTTGATATTGGTAATCGGTAATTGTACAATATTTCATAAATAATAATAAGTATGTCTCAATTTTGTGTTTTGATAATAGCACCAAACACCGGGAAATTTTAGTACTATTGGCAACACTCTGAAATTATGAATTGGTTAAGTATATGCCGGATCAGATTTACAAGTGATGCGCCATACAAAGTGTTACACTGTCCGACACGATTTTTGGGTTCCTATAGCCACTATGAAATTCTTGTAGAGCTTCACTTCCTGAACAAGAATCCGAAGACCGAATTGCTCCATCACCCTCAGTTTTTTAAATAAACGAACTTTTGTAAAATCCCAAAATTTTCGACAAAAATGAGGTATTGCATGAAAAGTACAAACGTTAGAAAGTTCTAATCGGTGTTAAAAGATAGAGGAAAGTTTCCCGAATATAGTGGCATGCAATTTATTAATTGTTTTTGGTCCTAAATAGCAATAAATTGATGTCAAAGTTTAAAAAAGTGTCGACGTGGGCAGTTTCTGCGCAATATTTTTGTATTTTTACGAAAAGTTCTTTGTTCAACACGAAAACTCTACACAGGATCGGATTCTGTAGACATTTCTGAAGAAGAAACGGCCCGATAGAAGTGTCGGAACGATGTACATTTCGAGTAGGTCGAGAAAATGTTCGTCGGCAACATGTACACGACGTTTTGCCGCCATGTGCTTCGCTGCTCGCTTCTCTCTGTCCGACAGGGCCGAAGCTATGGGTAATCAACACCGATGGAGGGATCCAATGGGGCACCCACTTAGCGTGTGGGGCGTGCCATTTTTTTTAGTACTTCAATGTGCTGTCTTCTTTTACATATTTTTATGGATAATAATCACCAAACTGTGAATCATAAATTAAAAATGGAGAAATAATAAAAGAAAAATAATGAACAAAAAATATTCATTTTATTCTGAATTTGTTCGAATTACAAGTATATCATGTATACAGTTATCATTTAAATTATAACGATAATACGATCATGAATAAATAATCATTTTCAAAACGTTAAACTTCTTGAAACATATCGTTAAATATATATTTAAATATTTATTTAATTATATGGCGTAGAAGTCAAAATTATACTAGTGTTAGAATACTTTCGTTACCAACTCCAAATACTCTGGTGTGATTTTTTGTGTGAAATATATCACAGTTTGGTGATTATTATCCACAGAAATATGTAAAAAAAAAACAGAACATTGAAGTACTAAAAAAAATTCAAATATTATTTACGAAAAGTGGGTGCCCCATTGGATCCCTCCATCGGTGTTGATTACGCATAGCTTCGGCCCTGTCGGACAGAGAGAAGCGAGCAGCGAAGCACATGGCGGCAAAACATCGTGTACATGTTGCCGACGATCATTTTCTCGACCTACTCAAAATGTACATCGTTCTAACACTTCTATCGGGCCGTTTCTTCTTCAGAAATGTCTACAGAATCCGATCCTTGGTAGAGTTTTCGTGCTCAACAAAGAACTTTTCGTAAAAATACAAAAATATTGTGGAGAAACTGCGCACGTAGACACTTTTTTAAACTTTGACATCAATTTATTGCTATTTAGGACCAAAAACAATTAATAAATTGCATGCCACTATATTCGGGAAACTCTCCCCTATCTTTTAACACCGATTAGAACTTTCTAACGTTTGTACTTGTCATGCAATACCTCATTTTTGTCGAAAATTTTGGGTTTTTACAAAAGTTCGTTTATTTAGAAAACTGAGGGTGATGGAGCAATTCGGTTTTCAGATTCTTGTTCAGGGAGTGAAGCTCTACAAGAATTTCACAGTGGCTATAGGAACCCAGAAAAAAAGTTTGATTTTGTCGGACAGTGTTATACAAAGCTTCGATAGAACGAGATGCTGAATATAAAATTATCGATTTATCACTACAATGAGGGAGACCAAGTGATTTCGGAAATATAAAATTACCTTTTATGTATAGACAAAGGAGACCTATTACATCTGACAAATATAAGGACATGATGAATTTATTACCATATACATATACCTCTCGTTCATCATGAATATTTTAAAATGTTAAATCCTCAGTGAAACTCAATATAATTATACGTTCAAAATAAATGATTAACGAAAATGTATAATTTCATTGAAATTCTTAATAAAAATGAATTGTTTTTTGTTATGTTATTGTTTTTATTGTTAACAAAAGGCTGATACAACTGAAATATTATCCATTTAAATTAACGATTACAATAATTCATTAATTTTGAAAGTGAGACAAGTTCATTTAGTTATAATAAAACCTTTATTTTCTTAGCCAGAGCACTATAAAAATACTATTGGATTATAAACTTACATTATCTAATACCACAAAATACAAAAATATTATTAAATATTATTAAGTCTATTAATACTTACCAATATTTTTAAATTTATTGAAATGCAAACCCTTAAATATCTCGCAATAATAAAAAATGGACTTGTCCCACTTTCAAAATAAACGGTTCATATTGTACATCGCCCAGCCAATAGAAACTGACCAACACAATAACGTGTCCTGAATAGCAATAGTAAACAAATCCTGGCATTGTACCGTGTACAAATATATAACACAGTGGCGATCTGCAGTGAAATCTGAAATACCAATTATCCAGTAGGTGTTCTCGGCTAATATCTAAATGCATTTGTTCCGAAAAATAATGCAATATCAACTGTTCCGTTGTATGACGGAATCTTTATAAATCAAGCGAGGAAATACGATATCCTCGATTCAAACATTGCTGGCCATCCACGTCTCTGGGAAAACGAAACTTGCCAGATGTGGACAACCCAGGGACCGAAGGCCCAAAGAAATAGCTTATTTATACACTTGGACAAAACAACCGAAATTCCTGACCACCCGTAGTAAGCAATTTCGTTAACCCTAGAAAGATAACCATATGACAACGTACGTAAAAGATAACCATACGCTTCAGAGGCGCATGCTTTTCTAAGGCGTCAATTTTATACTAACAATGGATATTTATTTAAGTTAATCTAGTCATTTTAAAGGTTTGGCATTATTGTAAAAATAAAATGCATTTATATTATATTTTTTTATATTTTAAGTAATTTTAAACTTAAATCACT